TTGCAGTGGAAAGATGAAGAGAAACACAGAAACGACGTGGTGGTAAGCGAAGGACCAAACGCCCGGCGTCCATTTTAAATTTGGGTCAATTGCGGCTGCCGTTCTCAATCTTTACATCTTTTGCAACTCTACCCTCAAACATTTGTTTCTTAGCATTTTTATCCTCATTAAAAGGATCCAAACTTGCTGTTTTGTTGGTGAAAAAAGACAAATTTCCCTCAAATTTAGGGAAAATTGCAGTCGTGGTCCCAAACCTTTGCATTTTTGGCAAATTTTACCTTAACCTTCAGTTTGTGTCACCACAGGTCTAAACCTTTGAGAAATTTACAGATGCAGTCCAAAATGATGGAAAACGTTAGTTCCACTGTCAGTTGACCTCAAAATGGAAAAAAGACAATTTTCGACCAATTTAAATTGGGGCATTTTCGTCTAATTCTGTTTGTCCTTTATTTATTGTATTAATCACTGTTCTTTTCCTTCCTTTTTTCAGATATAATATATAATTCTCTCTCTTTTATTTATCTTAGATCTGCGTTGGGTTTGAGCTCGGATGTTGTGTTTGTATTTTGGAAGATGGGTTTATGAGTTAAAAATCGAGAGTTGTCTATGGTCTTGTAACTTATTTTCCATTAAATAAGACATATTATCATTCAACAGTATTACCCTAATTTCCAATTCTTACGATTTTCCCCATGTGAGCAAATGCTTCAAAACAAAGGGAAAAACCTGTTGTAGAAGGTGCATTGCAGGTTTCAAACATTTTCAATTAGTTGTAGATAAAGATCCAAACCTTTTACTATGTCTCAACATAGGTCCCAAACATTTGTATTTGAATGCATAGAAAGTCCCAAATCTTTTAAGGAGTTAAAGCTTATGTCCCAATCCTTTACTTGAGTCAGAATACCAATTTGATTGCTTAGGTGCCAATTCCAAACCTGTTTTACTTTTGAAGCACCCAGAGGCCAGAACACAATAATCTAACAACAATCACTAATTAAAGACACCAAGAATAATTTTTTCATTGGAATATTCACATTTTATATCATAAGTCGTTTGTTCACCATACAAAAGAAATTTCAATTTTGTTCGACCAAAGATAATCACACAGAAAACTTCATCATACAAAAGTTTCTTCAAAAGGATCATTATACAAAAAGTTATGTTCTTTTTTGTCCATTTTTCTTATTCTTTGCTTGTAGTTCGGTGGAAGTAGAAGTCTTTCTCTCTCCATTGCCTTGTGATGAAGTTGGTTGTGTATCTACTTCAGAACATATTCTCTTGTTATGGTCTATCCCACCACATCTTTCACATGTCATCTTCATTCTGGTTCTTGCCATTTGGTATCTGCAGGTGGCTCTACTTACGACTTTTTTCTTGACTTCTTTGGTCTGCCCGTCTGTTTCTTTTTTATAGGTGGATTCAGAGGATGTTTCCTTAGATATAGGCACAAATCAAGACATGACATTGGTTGGATGACTGGACTATAGGACCTCAGGTAAGCTTCTTTGTTATAGCATACATCTACGTACACATATATGTCAATATTTCTTGATAGCATACCAGACATTGCATGCGCACAAGGTATTCTGGTATATTGCCATTTTCTACATGCACATTCATATTTTATCAAGTCCACTTTCCATCTTATTCTATCCTTATTGCTCATCCCAAACTTTTCACTTCCAGCATAGTCAGCCTTCAAGAACATTGCTGCCTTTGCTTTCTCACCAATAATCATAACTCTAGGACCAAAAGCATGATCTTATCTTTGTGCAGTTTCCCTTATGTCATTCATCCTCAGCATTTATTGATGTCTTATCTTCTCAAGCATTAAGATAATAGGTTTTTCTCTTGCAATCAATATGGAAGAGTTGAATGCTTACACAAATTATTCAGTAAGATGTCGCACTTTGAATAATTCTGGAAATTTGATATACTCCATTGTGATGCTGGTTTCTCATCGAACCCCTTTAACGCTGCTTCATTCATATCTTTCATATGATTCATTATACTTCTCAACTCTGGATTGTTGTTACCCTTGAATGCTCTTCAGAGTTAGTCCCTTATGCACTAAGGTGAAATTACTGTATAAATATCTTGCACAACACCTATGCTCAGCACTTTCACATTACGGATTTATGGAGTTTACCAAGCCCTTCTGTTTGTCATAAATGAAGGTCCAAGCACTGGCATTATACATCCCAATATCAAATGTCAAAAGTTCTAAGAACCATTCCTTGTTTGTTTTGTTCTCCTCATTAAACACAGCCCAAGCTAGAGGAAACATGCAGTTATTTACATCAATATATACTGCAGCCAACAATTGCCCACCTTGTGCACTCTTTAGGAAACATCCATCCAAAACAATCACATTCCTACACTCAGCTCTGAAACCTTCCTTGCATGCCCCCAAACATATATATAATATGTTGAATGTATGACCCTGCCCTTCAATTTTCATTGTACTACTAGGATTAGTTCTTTTCAACTCCTCACCATAATCCCATAGGATCTTGTACTGTTCAACCACAATTCTATTAACAACTTCTACACATTTAGCTATTATCCTATAAAATCGATGGTTAGAGATCGCATACATGCAATCCCCCTTCACCGTTTCTATAAAACTATTCATAGATATTTTTGGATCAGATCTGAACTTCCTTATATACTTTTTCGCCATGTAACTAGCACACACCCTTCTATTTTGCTAAATCATTGTGCATGTATGTTCATTTCTAAATGTGTTAAATCTGAAACTTTTGTCTAGTTGCTGGTTGGTATATAACTCCCATGGACATTTGTCTTGTTACTTCATTCTTTACATATCTGACCTACGTTGCATTTTTAACTGAATAATGTACAACTACATCCTTCAATGTCTTTATGTTGTCAAACTTCATGCCTGCATGATTTTACCAAGGCTCAATACTATTTGGCTTTAAACAGTTTAGTTTTAAATGATATGAATATATGACAAACAAAAAATATCTTTATTGTACCTATTTGGAATTTTGGATCTTGCATGTATGTAGCAGGATTAAACCAAGGCTCATTTCCGGCACTTGAAGAGCCACTAACTTCTTCAGTATTACTTGGATTTAAACAGTTTAGTTTTAAATGATATGAATATATGACAAACAAAAATATCTTCATTGTACCTATTTGAAATTTTGGATCTTATATGTCTGTAGCAGGATTAAACCAAGGCTCATTCCAAGTGATACTGAAGAAGTTGGTGGCTCTTCAAGAGCCGGGAATTTTGTTCCATCACCATCTACATGTCCTGCTGCACCCTCATGTGCTGTCCTTAGATGTATATCACCAATATCAAAACCGTCAAACAACCTGAAGAATGCATCTTCAGCATGATCATCTATAAGCACATCTTTCTCCTACTCATAATTTGGACCACTGAACTCCTCCATAGGCCTTTCTTAAATTCAAATTCCCTATTTCCTTCTCTAGTGTAAGTATGGTCCACATTTTCATCGATAAGGGGTGCATTATCAGGTGGTGCAAGAGAAATGGGTGCATCTGTAGGTGAGATATTAACATGGGATGAAACAACATGGAGCTTCATCAACAGGGGAAGCATCAACAGGTGCCTCATGTTGTACAACATAGGTGACTCATTTTAAGGTGAAATAGGTGACTCATTGTGATCTGCATCATGTGCCTCTTCATTATGATCTGAAACATGTGCCTCATTATAGTCATGCAGGGTCCACCACTGGTACTTCACCTATAGGTTGATCATCTATGTTATCATCACCTGCAGTTACATGATCTTCACCTGCATGTAAGTCACCCATTTCACCACCAGGAACATCAACAGAACTCACATCCAATCCTATTTCATCAGTTGCACCAGTACTCTCAGCCTCATTCACAACATACAAGTCATCACCCTCTAGAAAATCATCATAAACCTCCATTGCATAGCATACATAATGCTCAAACTGTTCGTCAACATCTACTTTCCCTTTTTCTTCCACCTCCTCTAACACCTCACTAGTGTCAACATCAATAACTGAAATATTACGCCCTACTTTGTCGTCCCATGGCAATTCCAACACTTCAAATATGGTTACACACCACATCTTATCAAACCTATTCTCACCAAACAACCTAACTACATTCATAAAGTTTGCATCTTTCACCAACCAGAACGATGTCTCGCTCAATCTATTCTTTTCAATTTTATACGCATACCTCATTTTCTCAAAATAGCCTAACATCTTTATAGCATTGTCCATGAGAAATCTATTAAACCAACCATGGTGCACGTAGTCTCGATAGACTATCATCTCATTCTCGTATATAAAATTTCTCATCTTTATACGTAATACACCACCATAATGTAGTTTTATAGTGAAATAACTTGAATTTTTCTTTGGACAAAAAAATTATAATAACAAACCGCCATCAATGCGAAACCATATTACAATTAAAGGAATGCAAAAGAAGCGCAAATAAATATTGCAAAATTTTTGACATTCCAACTTAATGACGTGCTTAAAATGATGAACACACTTCTCAACCTACTGTGAGGCAAACATGTCTACAACCAGAAATTTTGAAAAGAATTTAAAAACTTACCATATACAGATTTAGAAAGAAGGCCCCGTATGTAACGTATAATATTTTCTTGAATTTCATCAGATTGTTGGCTATTTTCAGTCGAAATTGTAGAAATGAATGTTCGGGTTCGTACCGTGAAAG